TGTGTGTGTAGCCAAGGAGTTAAGAGTTTCGTGACATTAGCCTCCAGGAGATCTACAAATAGCAGGTGAATAATATGCTACACACACAATGGGATGTGTTGAGCCTGTGTCGTTGATGGCCTGAAAGGGGCGTGAAATTTAAAGCAGCGCTGAACCAACACGCCGCAAGATCGTAGTGGCCTCCGTGTGGCTTGTGTGGAGCGAGAAAATGGCAAGCAAATAGCGTCCGTCCACTCCGTCTGCCACAACGTATTTCTTGTTGTCTTAATTTTTGTGGCTGCAGAATGGCGCCAGCAAGGCGCTATCTTAGAATAACAAAAGTCTAATCTGACTTTTTTTCTGGGGGGGGCGTTTTGACTTACTAAGATCATGAGGTTAGACACCACATGTTCTACTATCTGCTTTATCAAAATCGTAAGATTATTCGGAGTCGCCATCAAGATATTCAAAGAATTGCATTCGAAAAAGCTTGACATGACGTGAAGCTCAAAATCTTTGACGTCAAATGTCTCAAAACTAGGTACTGAGCGATACAACTTTGTAATTCTGATAGGTAGCGAAGTGACGGCCAAGTGAAAGAGGCCTCCAAGCAGCGCCCACTCTGCGCACACGTTAATAAAGACACTCACGCATCATCGTCAGTTTACAGATAGTGTGTGATTATGTGTTTGAATAAGCTTACTTTGGCCCTTTAGTGAAAGTTGCTGACAACCCATGGCACCCTGCATAATCTAATGTTGTGACGTAAGTAGCTAAGGCTTGCACCACTTCTTCAACACTTCTTACTTAACGGCGTTGTGAGCTCGTCAAATAAATTAAGACACACCAGAGAAAAAAATGTTAAAATTGAGTTTTGCATGAGTTAAGGGAAGCAAATCAACACAATATCGGTTATTTAGAGCGTGGAAAAAGTAACCGAAACAACTAACGAGACGCACACAAAGAAAACAAGACACAAAATTATGATAGATACTTTATTGATCCCCAATAAAAGAAACAGTGCATTTGTAGAAAATGACACAAAGAACGACTGCTAAATATAAAAACGAAGAAGTTGCCTTTTTCGTGAAGTTAACACACTTGACAATCTTGAGGATAAAAATGTTGTCATCAACAAGGTATAAAAACGAAACAAAAACGCAAACAATTATCAATAGGTGGGGGAGAGAGGGAAGGAGGGGGGGGGGCTGAAGATAAAGAATATTTTGTTGAAAAGAAAAGGTTCACGATTTCTTTATGTTAAATGCTAATAAAATCGGCAGGTACATGATAAAACGTGAAGAAATCAGGAACTATGAGAACAAGAACCGACACAAGGTTGTCAACATCAAAGTCAAAAGATGTATGGATCCAAGGGACTGGTGAAGAAATTGACAACATATAATATGCATGAACGAATGACAACATGAAAATGATAATAAAAATGAACATGAGATTACCACATCTGAGAGAGAATCGTCCCCTGGTTCCTCTCCTTATAAAAGATACAAACCTATCCGTGGCCAAATTGATTGTGAAAGTAAAGACAGGCGCTGAAGGTACAACAAGTTTGTTGGGTTTTTTAATGACGAAACAAAATTCCAAATTGAAGAAAATGAAGTAAAACTGGTGGTACAATACGTTTCTTTATCAGATGTAGATGAAGAGCTCGTCGTGGCCTATACTCCGGCAGGGAGTGAGAAAGCTGACGTTTAGTTTTAGTCTTAGTAAGACTAACTTAGCTATACTTTTTCCTTGTGAGCGTGCATTGACATAATATCTTGGTAATGTGACAGGCATATTTTCACAGCGGTAGCTGTATAAGCTCAAAGGTCAATACCGTTACCCGATTTAATATTATAGAAACTGATTAATGCTTTAAAGCTCTTAACTCTTGAAAATGCGCAAAAAATTATTGTGGACATTGAACAAGCTCTCTGTTCTCTCTTTTCGGTGGAGAGGACCTTAGAGGTGAAGAGACAAGTGAAGGATATTGGCCTAATACAGTCGAACCTGCTTAAACGACCACTTGTACAAGTCACTCCCCTGTACAAATGACCAATTCCTATTTTCCCCTTAGGATTTTCTAACATTATATTGACACTGTCCAAGAAAACCTTCTGTCTAAGGTGACCACTTTTCTTCTCGAAAACAGATGGTTTGTCTTAGGGGGCATGTGATGCCCTATACATTGTAGCAAATAAAATAAAAAGATATCACAAATGAGATAACAGAATGTCACCTCGATAATGTCAAACACAATGGGGGAAAGCCACAGGCTCCTTCTTTTAAAGAAGTGAACGAGGGTGGTTGGCGGGTGCTCTGGTGTGGTTTGCTTCTTCTTTCCTATCAAACATCTATCGTCCTTATCTCCCCTTCTTCTTTTTTATGTTTCTTACTCTCTTGTAACACCTCTAATCTTCTGGCGCTCATATGACCCTATGCAGTTGCGAGCGCCGTAAAACCTTTACTAAAATTAAAGAAGTGAACGACATTTTGTCGACCAGTGTTTAAAGAACTAAACCCTAATTTTTTTATTTTTTTTTATTTAGAAATTGCAGTTTCGTAATCATGCGGTATTGGTTTCATAAGCTGGGGAAATATTTGGTCAAAATTCAAACCTTAAAAGTGTTTTTTAAGCAAGAAAAGATACGTCAAGTAGGGACAACTATTAATAGAATGAAACAGTGTTCTCTCTAGCCTGAAAAAAAATGATCGGTTCTTGGACTTGGGATATCGGGAAACAGCTCTTCAACGATATATGGGTACAAGGGTTAAGTGAAGAAACTGGCAACCGACATGCATGAAAGAATGACGGCAGGAAAAGGATAATAAAAATGAGCACGACATTACCATATCTGAGAGAGAATCGTCCCCGGGTTCCTCTCCTTATAAAAGATACAAACCTATCCGTGGCCAAATTGATGGAAAAAGTAAAGACAGATGCTGAAAGTATGATAAGCTTTTATTTTGTTTTAATGATGAAACAAACTTAAAGATTGAAGTTAAAGGAAGTAAAACTAAAGGTACGATAAATTTGTTTAAGAAATAGAAACGAAATCAAACACAGAGAGTGTAAAATAAGATTTTTTAAAATAAAATAAATAGAAACAAAAAAACAAATGAACGATAACGCAATAGCCCCATCATCATTAAGCCCTATTTTTGAGAATATCAATCAGGACCGGATCGTCTCCTTTCTCCGCCACGTCCAACGGCGTCAAAGACTCCGAGTTGTAGACCATGACCTGCTCTGCTCCGTGCGCCAAAAGTAGCCTTGCTACATCCCGGTACTTCTTTTTGTCCTGAATTGTGGGCCTGGCTACACGGCCACTCAGAGCTGGTAGATTCAGCTCCAGGTAAATGTTTGCCTGGGAAAAGACGCGGGGACACGTAGTGTGTAGTTTATACCGTTTGGTTTCGTTGTATGTACTTAGGAAAGTGCTTAGAAAAGATACTGAGCCCCTGGGCCGGACACTTTGAGAGTGTTCTAAACCGACCATCCAGGGTCAATTGGATCCCTCCCCTCTTTTGATTCATTCAAATGTCAGCTGAAGTCGTTTCTGTTTTTAAATTAATAAGATGAATATTTGGAATAATTTTCTTTAGTCAGAACACAACGTTTCATGTTACTGTTGTATGTTGTACTGTATTGTAAAGCGCTCAGAGCCTGTGTACTTTGTTCGGGGTTGAGCGCTATATAAATGTCATTTATTATTATTATTAAATCCCACTGAAATCCTCCCTTGATTGTCTCCAAAAGAACACTGAAACCAGAAGCTCCATGAATGCATGTCCTTCAATAAGCCCCTTGGCGCGGACTCTAATGCTGCAGGGGTCTTGGTTTTGGTGGAGACCATTTGTTGAGACACAGACATTACTATTCTGTCAAATGTGGGAATGTTGAAGTGGGTACAAGGACGCAACTATCATTCATCTGTACAAAACCAAAGGTGACAGGCAATTTTGTGACCAGTACAGAAGCATATCCCTTTTGTTTATAGCTGAGAAGATCCCGGCCCTAGTTCCTCTCGATCGCCTGTTGAAGCATCTTTCTTCAAATGAGGTGTTACCCGAAAGTCAGTGTGGCTTCCGCGCTAAATTAGGCACAGAGACAAAGTTAAAAGTCTACAATGATGTGATCCTCCCCACCCTGTTGTTTGGTGCTGAGACCTGGACGGTGTACCAAAGCCATGCCAAGAAGCTTAATTATTTCCACATGAAATGCCTCAGAAGAATTCTCGGCATCAAATGGCAGGATAAATTACCAGACACCAAAGTTTTCAAATGAGCAAAAGCCGAGGGTCTGTTTGGGAAATTCAGGCATTCTTACAATATGGCCTGCCCAGCGAAATTGAATTCTTTTGAGTTCCAAAAAAATAGCATTCATTTCCTGCTCTCAAAACGCTCAACAACTATTTGAATAGTTGCCAATCTATTGTGATAAAAGAAATCAAGTTACAAAAGAGCCATCTTAAGTTTGGTGTTCCCCATGGTTCAGTTTTAATTCCGTTACTATTCAATATGTATACACAACCACTTGATGTCGAAATACAAAAGTATCAACTCAGTTACCACTTTAATGCTAATAATACACAGACATATGGCTCTATTCATTCTTGCAACACAAATGAACTAGTAGAGAGAGTAGAGAAATGCATTGAAAATAATAATATGAAAATATGGATGTATGAAAACAAATTAATGCTCTATGATGAAGGCACGGAATTTTATTTTTAGTAGTAGTAGTAGTAGTAGTAGTAGTAGTAGTAGTAGTAGTAGTAGTAGTATCATTACAATTATTATGTGTTTGTGCGTATGTGTCTATAGTGTGTTTGACGGGTCTTAAGTTTATAGCGTGTTTTTATTCGGTTTCAAGCATTTAGTTTGTGCCTATGCAGGTGGTGTGCAATAAAGTAACTGATAAAGGATCCTTACTTGGCTGGCCACTATGTGCAGGGGCGTGTTCCCTTGTTGATCCCTGAGATTAGCCTTGACCCCTCTCTCCAGCATCATTTCCACTATTTCAGTGTTGTGGTTTGCAGCCGCCAGATGGAGCAATGGAAAGCTCAGCGTCTCCTGATCTTTGACCTTAGCACCGCGTCTGATCAGAAGCGAGGCTACTTCAAAATGGCCGGCTGTAACGGCGGAGTGCAGAGGTGTGCATCTTTTCTTATTAGGCGCGTTAACAGAACCGCCTGCATGGATGATATCGTCGATAATGTTAATGAGACCACAGGCAGCAGCGACGTGGAAGGGCGTATCTCCTTCTTTATTAACCGGGTTTTGACCTATGGAGGCGAGTCCAGTCGAGAACAGTATCCTAAAAGCTTCCACATTTTGCAGTATGATGGCAGTAGCAAGAGGTGTTTTCCCGTTTACCTCGAAGTTGACATTGGCACCACTTTGCACGAGGTCTTCCAGCTTTTTGTTCTCTCCGTCCTTAATGTACACATGCAACATACAGCTTCTTGATGACGGCAGCTCTTTCCCAAGACCGAGCTTTAGGTAGCCCTTTATTAAATATGACCTAATAGGCAATGAGTCAATCCTACTTAGGGTGTTTCTTACTCCTAACGTTTCACGAAATTTCAACCTTGTCTGGAAAAGGAGGGAAGCAGGTACTTGTGAACACATCCAGCCCACAATTTCCCTCTCAACTGCCCTGTATTCATCAACAAGGTGGGGTTTTTTGCTCATTTGTGGTAAAGCCAGGCTTGAGGAAAGACCACCAAGGTATGGGAAGGCTGCTTCCCTCAAAACTTTCAGCAGCAAATATCGCTCACGGAGTTTGTCGGGTTGAACTCCCAGCGGTACAGCCTCTATCGCCCACGCCAGAGGAGACTTCACTTTCGTTTTACCATAAGTATAAACCTCAATCTCCTCTCGGCAGTTTGCGCCGTAGTACACAAGGAATCTGGCTATCTCAAAAGCTGGCGTGGTTTGAAAGAGAGCATTCTGAAATGGTGTTCGGTGGTTTTCGTCAGAGACTTCCAAATTACATCCATTTTCTGCTAATAAACAAAGCCCAAAAACATCTCCATAGTCGACAGCATAGTGCAAAGCTGTGCGTCCTCTGGAGTCTTGGGCGTCCAAGTCACAGCCAGCGTCGATCAGCATCTGGCAGATCTCTAACATGTCGGAGATTTTATGATTTTCACACGCAAGGAAGTTGCGTATAGGAGGGAGAGCCATCATCAGTGGCGTCACTCCAGATTTGCCGGGCATGTCCACTTGACAGCCGTTCGCAAGGAACTCTCGTACACAGTTGACGCTTGTCCGCACACATGCACCATAAAGAGGAGTTTCTCCGTCATTATCCACATTGTTTAAGTCGGCACCATGACTGATCAGCACTTTCGCAGTCTCATGGTAATCGCCCCAACAGCATGCACGCAGAGGCGTCACTCCATTGATGTCTTTTTGGTTGACGTGTGTGCACATAGACGAAAGCTCTAGCATGGAAATAAAATAAGTTATACGTAGGATTATATATTATTAATGCAATCAAGCCCAAAATAAGATTAATTTATTATCGTTGTTGATGCCATCTATTTATTTCTAGTAAAACTGGCACAATAAAGGTCATTAATTTTTTTGAAAGGAATCATTAAACAAAGAAAACAAGAGATATATAGTAAAGAGTAAAAAAGTATGCCCAAGAAATGACACCCCCTAACACTTACTCCTGTGTTTTTTTAGGAATAACTTGGCCACGTGTGGAGCTCTGGGGTTCGAATCTGAAAGCTGCAAATTGTTTTCTTCCCCACTGGATCATGTTCTAATTATCCTTAGTCTGTCTGTCTATCTGTCTGTCTCGCTGGCTGATGTTCATTGACCCATTTCTATGCTTATGTGTGAAGAACGCCAGTAGTGTGCGTGGTATTTTGATGTCCTCTTATCTTTTTTTTTTAATAAAAAAATTAAGAGAGTAGGACAAATACTAAGATAGATAGAACAAACCTTCAACATAGCGAGTGAATCCTTTTTTTGCAGTAACGAACAACGGGGTTCTGCCAAACACGTTCTTGGCCATTGGATCAAAGTCATGTCGTGCCATGATCTCGTCCATTATTTCAAAATTCTCGAATTCCACAGCAAGCGTGAAGACTGTCTCGTGTTCATGCACAGTGTTGATATCAGCGCCTGACTGGATGAGCTTCCTTGCCTCCTCGTTATTATCCACCCAGATTGCCTTGTGGAGGTCTATGAGCGAAGAGGGGGCGGCTTTGGGAGACTGGCTTTCGGGCAACTGGGAGGGAATGGTGGGGAAGGGGTGGAGAAGTTGG